CTATGGATTGTAGATTCTATAGATGGTAGACTATGGATTGTAGATTCTGTAGATGGTCGACTATGGATTGTAGATTCTATAGATGAAAGATTCAATAGATTATAGATTATATAGATTATAGATTTTATACATTACAGCTTCTACAGATTACAGATTCCATAGATTATAGATTTTATAGATCATACCTTCTATAGATTCCCTTTCTATAGATATATACATATATATATATTAATTCTATAGATTATAGATTCTATAGATTATAGCTTCTATAGATTCTCTAGATGATTGACTCTAGATTATAGATTCTACAGATTACAAAAAAGATTTGGTTTCTAGTTACCGCTGTGTCAGTGCACCAAATGATCCAGCCAATTTCCACAAACACATTCCGATGGACAAAGCATTTACGAGAACTGACCTCTCCTAACCAGGGTCTTCCGTCGAGAGCCTCGTCGTCTACAATGAAAGCTCCTCTCGCCGAGGATCCTCTGGGCAGAGAGAGGACAGCTCGTGAAAATCATAGATAAGCCCTGGTAACGAGGTTGCCCTAGGTCGCGGAGCCGCACAGAAATCTTTCCAACAGATGTCGAACGCGGAAACGATTCACGCTGGTCACACTTCCAACCTCGTCCCCGGAGGTTCCCCCTCGCGTATCGGAGGCTGCAGATGAAGATCTTAGATCGGGAGGCTGTAACGGTGCAGCCTCGTGTCCCATTTCCGCGATAATAATGCCGCGTCACGTCACGAGACCGAGAGAGAAACGGAGGACGAGAGCTGGAGTCGAGGAAAGTCTCTTTTCGTCGCGGATGAACCGACCTGCATAAGTGACGCAGAGTTTCCAAGTACCAGGTGATCATTGGCGCCAGTTGGACGCGACAAAGTTTTGTTGGAATTAATCATTTTTGTTGGGTGATTGCCAGGTTGATTATCCGAGTATTTGATTTTGTGGGACGATTATCATTTTATGAAAATATATGTTCTATGGTTTATAGAGCCAATAGATTATTTATTTGATGCATTTCAGCTGGATGGAAATCAAAAGTTTTAATTGTACCTAAAAATTGTACCTAATCTTTACCTAAAAACTATAATAGACTTCCTAGAGTCATCTTTGCATTTATTTTTATATTTATGTAGAAGCTTTTATACTGCAACAAAGCTTCTTTTAATTGTAGGGAGAATATAAACTTATTAGGTCTTTCCTTGTTGCTATGTCACGATCTACTATTGTTACCTAGATAATCGCATTGTATACGATCCGTGCCTACTCGGACCGCAATAAACGAATTAAATAAATCCACGGAACAACTACCTTAACCCTTTCGAATCTAGTGGGAGACATACAGTTAGTCCCATAAATATTCGTACCCTCTATGTCTATCGAAGAAATTTGTTTAAATTAAATGGTAGGTTCGATGTTTCCAACTGTAAGTTTCAATAAATATGTTGATGTATATATATGAATATATACATGTATAAGCTTATTCATATACATATTCATAATGAAAAATTAATTTGGTAAAATCGAAACTATTGGGTGGTCCGGAAAGTCCATGTCGATTTTTGGTAGGTGGTACAGGTCTGAATATATTGAAGTGGTTTGTAAACAAATAACATGCATACATCCCTTAAAAAGTGGAAAGGTTGTGGAACTAAATCGCACCTATGTAATTCAATAAATATATATTACAATTGAAACATGTTTTTGAAAGTTTCTTAGAAATTGGCACGAACTTTCTGGACAACCTAATATTATTTAATTTAGTCAAACTTATTTAATAGACATAGTGGGTACGAATATTCATGGGATCGACTGTATATGACAAGAACTTGTTAAAACATGTGCGACGCCGAAATGGATTTTTAATATCAAAGAGCAAATCTATTAATTGCCTTACTCTCTTAATATTTAGAGTTTAACATTGATGACTACCTATTAATTTCTTCCATGAAATCCTAAGGCTTAGGTGATACAAGACCGGATCTGTCTCCTTATTGCGCCACAAGAAAAAGGAATTTTTTAAATCAGCGATTATGTTCTAGCCTCGTCACTATACAAAAAAATGGAGCGCGTCTCTTCGTCGCAGCACAGCCCTCGATTCCAAAAAATCCGTAACCACCGAAACCTCGACTGGCGCCAGGGAATAAATTTATTTTTCTGTCCCCGCGATCAGCGTCGCCACGATTGCGTATGCAAGAGTACTGGCGCCAGCGGAGCGGCGTCAACGGTCTCTGCATGTGGAAAACCTGCATAATGCGCGGAACTTATACGTCAGCTCACGTGTTTCTCGTCCAAGCACGGTTGATAAACTCTGTCGTACGTTAATAGAGCCGACGGATTGCTACGAGGACGTCATGGCATATGGGGCCCTCGATGATCACGTTTTACGTAAGTGGTCGTTGGGATCATCGGAGTGCTGAAACCGGGGCAATCGTGAAAACTTTGAGGATAGAGAGTTTCGGACGAGGGGTGGTTTCTGTATCAAACAACGGTCGGGGCTTTGCGCGAGTACAGGGTGTTTCGGAAATGGCGACGAAACTTTTGGAGCGCAGGGTTTATCCGGAGTGGAAAGTGGCCGTGGAAACATGTACGAATTAGGGAAAGACGATTTCAGAGAAAGAGAGTGTTCGGATATAAAGCGCACGAAACAGAGTGGAAAAATAAGAATTATAACATTGGGAATTATATATTATTTTGAGAAATTTTAATGAAATTCATATGGAATAGAAATACACAATTCCAACAAAGCAAAGATCTCTCAGATGAAGCTGCTTCCTCTTCAGGCAAAGAGTCATAGTCTCCGCAGAAATTGTATAGGAAAGTTTTAGATAAAGGTGTTCCAGAAGATGTTATGCTTGGTTTAGTAGTATATCGAAAAGTAGATGGATAGGTATCTATAGATGCAGTGCGTAACGAAGTTCTGAAAAATCTACGATAAGAGAAGAAAGTATTTATGTTAGTGAGTTTATGTCGGTTATATGAAAATAGAATAAGCACAATGGAAATTAGATTGTGAGGATTATGAAAAGTGCAAAAGAAATCGGTGATTGGTAACGGGCAAGGCTGGACGATTTGAGAGGAAGAGAGCGTTCGGACATAAAGCGCACAAAAAAAAGAGTGGAAAAATCAGAATTATAATATTGGAAATTATATATTATTTTGACAAATGTTGATGAAACTCACATGGAATAGAAATATGTATATCGAGAAGTAGATAGATTCTATGTATATATGCAATACGTAACGAAGTTCTGAGAAATGTAGGATATGAGAAGAAACTATTTATGTTAGTGAGTTTATGTCGGTTATATGAAAATAGAATGACAATGGAAATTAGATTGTAAGGATTATAACAAGTGCGAAAGAAACCGGTGATTGGTAATAAGCAACAAGTATCGAAAGGTCTAATAATCAATATAGAATAGATTATGCACATTATATAATAAAGAACAAATAAAATAAATAAGCAGTTACCTGTCTGCCTCGCAGGGCGCACAGCCACCAACCCTCGAGACCAGATGTGTTTTGCTCGAGTACTGTCAGGACATCGCCTTTCCGAAAGGCCAACTCGTCAGAGGCCTCTGCAATGTTGTCGTAGAGGGCACGCGCTTTTACACATTTTTGCTATAACAAAAGAATGAGAAATGAATGCATTACTGTTCGTAAGAATGTGGAGGAATTTTCACGAGTCGACTATTCAGTGTTTGATATCAGTTTCAATAAAAGATCAGTCATTATTTTTTATAGTGAACAGTCACAGCGATTAGTCACAGTAAAGATTCATACTTGCATTCATAGGCAAGATTGTATATTAATTATTAAATGGTGATTTATTAATTTTGTCGTCACATACATATTAACAATTAAACATGATTTATTGGTCTTGCAAACTATAATTTTATATTAACATGAAACGTATCAATAAACATTCTTTCAGAATTATAATAATATTTGTGTACAAGCAGTATTAGGTTTCTTATTAAATTAAAAAAATAAAGAATGCACATATTATACATATAAAATTAAAAATTACGAATACCGACCAATTCTTTGTTACGTTAATTTAATAAAAGAAAAAAAAAAAGAAAATAGTCCAAACGTTCACAGAAAACGATTAAGATTCATACCGAACGAAGACTAATTTTCCTGTTATTGTATATTGCTTTCGTTATCTAAAACCTAAAACATATAATAAAGTTCCTAGAGTTATCTTCGTATTTATTTTTACATTTACGTAGAAGCTTTTATATCGCAACAAAGCTTCTAAAGTCCTGTAACTTGAACAAATGGCGTTCATAAATTCCTAGAGCTGCTATTTTCGGAAGCGAAACGTTCATACGAGATTGTAACGACCATTTAAGACGAAACGCAAGTCACAATGGCTTACGAGGAAACCGCGTTGTGTGTCAGCCGCTTTCAACTAAGTTCAATTGAAGTGCCTCGACGAGACGACAGCAGTTTCCTCGCCGTCCATTTTTCGTGGCAAACAATGATGTCATTTCACGTCTTTGACGAATCTGCGAGGAAAAGAGGCGCCATCGTGATCTTAGCCTAAATTGATGCACCCATTAACGGTAGAGTTGGCCAACACTTTAGTTGAATAATTTCAAGCCTGCTGCTACGTTTAAAAATAAAGAAAGAAATTGGAATTATTACAGTGTTTGTGTATGTCAACTAAGTTAATTATTAAATAAAAAAAATGTAGGTGTAAGAACAGCGAAGTTAGTATTTTATTTAAAAATAAGAGACATATACATATTTCACATCATTGTATTCCATTTATTCTATGGTATGTGTTGTTTACTTTTCAAGACCTTCAATCATTCATACATAATTTCAATTTATCATTAATAAAATATAGATAAAGAAAATATATATGATTGTATATTAACATTAAAAATGATATAAATATAGCAGCAGCAAACTTATTGTTAGTATTTTGTTTAAAAATGGAAGACATATTTAACTTCATTTATTCTATATAAATAATTATATTTATTACAGTATGTATTTCGAATACTATGAAAAAAAATAAAAAAATCGCAAATATATAAGTAAATCATTTGATACATTGTGTATTATTGTTGACGGTGAATCACATTAATGAAATGTAGGAATATAAAAAGAGACTAAGTTATCGCATCAGTTAGGAAGTTACCTAAGAAATTGTCGTTAAGTAGGCAAGAATAGATGAATGAAATTGAAAAACTTATCCTCGACGAAATCTCGAGACGAATTTGAGCAATACGGGAATAAATGAACAAACTTGAGAAACTTCTCCTCGACGAAATCTCAAGACGTATCTGAGAAGAATATGCACCGCGTAGAACAAAAGTGCCTCGTAACTCACCATATATATACCGCGGCGAACAAATAACTGGCGGTACAGTTTGTTTGGTCTAGTTTCAGCGGAGTTTCCGTTTCGTGTTTATTGTTCGTGATCCTCGTAAAGTCCCAGGATTTATTTTCCGCCGGGGACTAAAAAATCACGAAGTCGCGGTCGCGAAACTGACGAAACGCTCTCGTATAGCGGGTGGCGCTAAATCGTACTTTCTCCTTGGAAAAATTCTTGGGAGCGAATGGTATCGAGTAGTAAACATCACGCGACGGGAGAACGTCTTTGTAACACGGTAGACTATTATTGTAGCATCGTTGGCCTTCGATCGGTTTTATCGCCGTTGTACAAGCACCAGACTATAACACTATGAAGTATTAAACCGTAAGATGACTGAACCGGGGTGGTGTACAACAAGCTCGTAGAAGAGACGGCGATGATCTCGTGTCAAAATATTGCCTTAGGATCCACCCACGTATTAAGTGGGTGGTATACACAGGGTGGCTACGAATTAAAAGATCACGGTGAACTGTGTAGTATGATTCCAGTACGAAGAATTATTCTTCTACTTTTTAAAAATTGGGTTTTGATGGGAGAGAAAATTTTTGTATATGTTTTTGGTAGGGTTCCATAATTTACAACGAAAAAAACTTTCAATCCAAAACGTTTATTATTAACTACACACAGGGTAGCTCCGAGTTCAAAGATCAGAGTGAACTATGTAGTATGATTCCAGTACAAGAAATTATTCTTCTATTTTTAAAAAATTGGGTTTCGATGGCGGAGAAAAGTTTTATATTTTTTTTAACAAAACCAATTATTCAAATATAAACGTCAAAGATAAATGTTCCTTAGTATTTCGTGAGTATAAATTGCCATGCATGGTGATGACAATCATAGAAATTCGTTATGAAAAGTAATATATAGAGAACATGTACCTGGTTGATTTATATTCGCTTGTGTTTGGATTTTGTTAAATATTGTATTATTATTGCGTAATTTACGTATTTAGATTCAACTTCTTCATTATAATATTCTATGGTGCCCTTGAATCTAATATTGACATGTAAGTTAACTACCAGCATATCGACTACCTAGAATTTCGATACGTACCTTGAATTTCTCCTGCCACCTCCTCGCACATCATGTTCTCCTGATACCAAAATTTAAAATTTCCTTAGAATTTCGATGCGTACCTTGAATTTCTCGTGCCACCTCCTCGCATATCATGTTCTCCTGATACCAGGAGTAAAATTCGAAACGATTCTATTTCCTGGTATATTTCCCATTAAGTTCCCTTCATTTCCTTACATATTTCCCTTTAACTCCCCCCCATTTCCTGGTATATTTCCCTTTAGTTTCTCTCCATCTCCTGGTATATTTCTCTTTAATTTCCCTCCATTACCTTACACATTTTCCTTTAATATTCCTTCATTTCCTGGCATATTTCCTCTTACTTCCTGGTATATTTCCTTATAATTTCCCCTCATTCTGTTATATTTACCTATAATTTCCCCTCATTCTGTTATATTTGCCTATAATTTTGTCTTATATCTGTGATATTTTCCGGTTTAACAATGCTGCAACAGCTCAGCTCAAAACTTCAACAATGTTGCAAATGGCTCCGCTCAAAACATCAACAATGTTGCAAATGGCTCCGCTCAAAACATCAACAATGTTGCAAAGTCGAGTCAATTTTTCGGATTTTATCACATTTTTAGCATTTCTGAAATGCCACTTTGTTATACTTCTAAGCGTTGCAACTTTGTTGCAATATTGAGCGAGACGTTATCGCAATTTGCAACTTTGTTGCAAGTGTGAGCAGAGCGCGTCCGATATTTGCAACATTGTTGCAATTTTGAGAGGAGCGTTTTCGACATTTGCAACATTGTTGCAATTTTGAGCCGCTCAAAAATTCAACAAAGTTGTAACGCTCAAAAGTACAACAATGTGGCAACTCAGAAGTTCGGCAAAATGTGAGAAAATCTAAAAAATCGTCTTTTCTCCGAACATCTGAGTTGCCACTTTGTTGTACTTCTGAGCGTTGCAACTTTGTTGAATTTTTGAGTGGAACGTTATCGCAATTTGCAACTTTGTTGCAATTTTGAGCGGAGCGTGTCCGACATTTGCAACATTGTTGCAATTTTAAGCGGGGCGTTTTCGGCATTTGCAACATTGTTGCAATTTCGAACCGCTAAAAATTCAACAAAGTTGCAACGTTTAAAAGTACAACAAAGTTGCAACGTTTAAAAGTACAACAATGTGGCAACTCAGAAGTTCGGCAAAATGTGAGAAAATCTGAAAAATCGCCTTTTTCCCGAACATCTGATTTGCCACTTTGTTGTACTTCTGAGCGTTGCAACTTTATTGAGTTTTGAATAGCGTCAAGTTCAACAATATTGTAAATTTCTCCGCTCAAAATTGTGATGGGAAATGTCGGATTTTTAATCCTGGTAATGGGAGAGCATTATATGCGAAGAGTTTATAGTTCTCAATGAAACAATAAACAAAACAATTGTTAAAGAATATTCAACAATGATAGTAACTATCTATTAGATAGTAGAAATTCCGCCCTTCAATTTGAATTTTGTTAGAATCAAATCGGACGATTCTACACAGAGTTACGACACTCGAACGTGTCCCATTTAATAGGTAGTATAGATAAATTATGAATGAATGATTGGATGCCTAGTGACCTACCTAAATTCCTGGAAATGTGTACACGCCGTAGTAAAGTAGTAAAAATCGTAAACAAAGTGTCCAGCGTAGTATTTCTTGGAAGAAGACGACAACAATCACCCTTTAAATACTTGGTCTTGAATATTTAATGAGCTCCTTTTGAACGATTTTTACGAAACTTGGTATACATGGGTTTTTGGGGTCGCTGATTCCAAATCTGAACTCAAAATTTAGAAATTCAAAATGGCGGACTCAATACGACGGCATAAAATGTAAAAAGTGATTCGATTTGGATGAAATAAACGACAGACGAAATTTCGTCTTTAATCAGTGAAAACCTGGAACCCGAAGCTCGTTTAATTCTGAGACACCCGGTGTGCCCGCTGGTAACTATACCAGCCACCGAAACGCCTTTTTCTCGATACGTATCGCGGTTCTCGTATCCAGCTCGCATAAATATTTGTTTAGTTTGCGATTGGAATGTAGATCGATTCGAAAATATAGTCTCTTTCATCGGTAAGGAATTCCAGTGGGTGCTCTCCCGGCAGATATTAAATTCCACCGTTGCAGGGGAACGTTCCACGGCACCTCGGTCAGGTGTTTGGTGGAT